ATAAAACTCTCTCTTAACAAACAAAAGGTTCTATAGTTCATCCGATCCTCCACAGTAGAGCTCTCTATTTGACTATCTCCAGGGAAGAGTTTTCTAGCTTTTCCTAGTTCCTGGGCAGGGTTTCCCACAAATCCCACTTTTAATCAAACGACTTTTTTTTTCAGAGTGATTTTCAGTTCACGGCGGATTAAATAGAACGCACAGAGAGTTCACAGCCATCCTGTCCCTGCTGTGTCCTCTGGCCATCCATCAGCACACTGCGCCCGCGTGTGGCTCGTTTGTTAAAATCGATGAACCAGTGTTGACATGTCATTATCAGCCCAAGTTCATAGTCTACACTAGTGTAATCTAGAAGTGTTCCTTCAGGAACTATTTTTAAAAACCTTTCTACGAGAGGGAGAAAAATCAAATCTGCTTTTTAAAAACTAGAGCGAGAATACAGTGAACTCTGAGGCCCCATCACCCAGCTGTAGTTAACATCAATTCTTAGCAATCCTAATCTGAATTACCGCCTTTCTCCAGTGTCCTCCATCCCACGCTACCATGTTCCTGCCCCACCCCCATCTCCCATTGTTCTAAGACACATACTAAGTATTAACATCATGATGTTTTAGGTTTATTTATTTATTTTTATGTGTACAGGTGTTCTTCTGCCTGCATGCTTGTCTGTGTGCCTTGGGGAGCCCAGAAGAGGGTATCGGATCCCCTGGAACTGGAATTACAAATGGTTGTGAACCACCATTGTGTTCTGAGAATTAAACTTGAGTCTTCTGAAAGAGCAGCCAGTACTCTTAACCACTGAACTGTTTTTTCTAGCTCTATCATAGGGGTTTAGCTATAAATATTTCCACCTAATTTTCTTTATTAAAGTTTATTTATTTATTTATTTATTTGTTTAAATGTTTGGTTTTTCAAGACAGAGTTTCTCTATGTAACAGTCCTGGCTGTCCTGGAACTTACTTCATAGACCAGGCTGGCCTCAAACTCGCAGAGATCCACCTGCCTCTGTCTCCCAAGTGCTTGGATTAAAGGCATGTGCCACCACCACCACCCAGTCCAACACTTGTTTTTTTTAATGTATATGTGTCAGTGTTCGCATGTATGACTGTGTACCACGTTCTTGTCTGTTGGCCACAGAGGCCAGAAGAGGGTGTTATATCTCCTGGAACTGGAGTTACAGAAGGTTGTGAACCACCATGTGGGTGCTGTGAATGGAATACAGTTCCTCTGGAAGAGTAGCCCGTGCTCTTAACTGCTAAACCATCTCTCCAGCTAACCCTGCTCCTTTGGAGATAGTATCTCACTATGTAGCTCTGGCTGGCCTGGAACTATGCAGACCAGACTAGTCTCCAATTCATAGAGATCCATCTGCCTCCAGCTCTTGAGTGGCTGGAATTAAAGGTGTGTACCACCATGTCCAGCAACTTTTTAAAGGTTTATTTATCTTTATTTATGTGTACCTGTGTATGCTTGCATGAAGTTATGTTTACCACATGTGTCCAGTTATGAACTGCCTGATGTAGGTGCTGGGACTGAAGCCGGGGTCCTCTAGAAGAGCAATAAACACTCTTAACTCATGAACCATAGCTCTAGAAAAAAATTTTTTTTAATAACCACGAGTCCAGTTGGTGTTCCTTACATGGTATGGGTGTGGGTCCCCACACTGGAGCATGGGCAACTACCAGTAGCCACACCTTTAAAGAAAAATGACCGCCCCCCAGCAGCCATCAGATGTCCCCAGTTCCTCAGCTAGAAGTAGAGTAGAACCTCATGACCACTGCCCACCCCCTACACACCCACTGTGGAATGTGGTCAGCTTGATCTTGTGCAGGCAGCCATAACCATCATTAGTTTCAAATGCAGTGAACAGTTTCCCAGTGTTTCTTCCCAGCTCCTACATCCTCTCTGCCTTTACCCACTGAGCCATTTACCTGCGCTCACCAGTTCTCATTGTTTGTTTTTTCCTTTCCCTTAAGCCTACTGCATAGTCATGTTATGTTCTGAAGGTACATATATTGTCATGTGATATTAGTGCTGGCTGGCATTCGAGTGGAAGGATCTCTTAATTATTAATGGTGACACACTGGTGGTATTCTAACATATCTTGTTTATGTAGAAATACTCCTATAAAGAGAACATTCCCTTACAGTAGTATTGGGTTAATCAGTTGGCCCAATTCTTAAAAAAAACAAACAAAACAAACACACATGTATGTGTATGGGTGTTTTGTATGCATGTATGTCTGTGCACCTTATGTGTGCATGGTGCTGTGGAGGCCAGAAGAGGGAATTAGATTCTCTGGGACTGGAGTTATAGATGGTTGTAAACTGCCATGTAGATACTGAAAATCAAATTCAAGTCCTCTGGAGGAGCAACCAGTGCTCTTAACTGCAGTTGTCTCTCCAGCGAGGTTGTACAGTTCTTTAGAAATTAACATGGGGGCTAGAAAGATGGAGTATAGGGGGCTGGAGAGATGGCTCAGAGGTTAAGAGCACTGGTTATTCTTCCAGAGGTCCTGAGTTCAGTTCCTGACAACCACATGGGGGCTCACAATCATCTATAATGATATTTAGTGCCCTCTTCTGGCAGTCAGGGATACATGCAGACAGAACACTGTATATATAATAAGTAAATAAATCTTAAAAAAAAAAAAAGGAAAGATTGGGAGGCAGAGGCAGGCAGAACTCTGTGAATTCAAGGCCAGCCTGGCTACAGAGTGAGTTCCAGGAAAGGCACCAAAGCTACACAGAGAAACCCTGTCTTGAAAAACCACACACACACACACACACACACACACACACACACACCCCACAGGCTCTCAGTTATTGCTCCAGTGCCATGTTTGTCTGTTCCCCACTATGATGATAAGGGACTGACCCTCCAAGACTGTAAGTAAGCCCCCAATTAAATGCTTCCTTTAAAAGAAAAAAGGAAAGAAAAATTAATTCTCCTTAATTTTGTTTTTCATAGTTTAGAACCACAGAGTTTGCTTTTGGGGCGTGGTTGAGGGAGCCTCATGTATCACAGACTGGCTTTAAGCTCATCACACAGCTAAGGAACTTGAAATTGTGAGCCTCCTGCTTCGACCAGTGAAGTGCTGGGCTGGGATGCAGGCAAGCACTATCACACTGGAATTCTACTGTTCTGTTTGGTCCTGTCCTTTAATTTAATTAAATTTTATGTTGTGTCTGGGTGTTTTGCTTTCTGTCTGTTTGTGCATCACTTGCATGCCCAACACCTGGAGGAAATCATAAGAGAGTGTTTAGTCCTGGATTTGAAATTACAAATGGTTGTGAACTGCTATGTGGGTGCTAGGAATCGAACCTATGTCCTCTGGAAAGCCAGCCAGTGCTCTGCACTCATCCTTCTGGCCCCTGTCCTGTTTTTTTTTTTTTTTTTTTTTTTTTAGACAGGAGATAATGTAGTTAAGATTGGCCTTGAACTTGGTTTATATCTGAGGTTGGACTTGAATGCCTGATCTTCCTGCCACCATCTCCTCAGTGCTGGGATTACAAGGGTGCCACCATGCTGTTTTAGACAGTGTGGGGACTGCACCCAGAGCTTGGTAAGTGCTAGACAAGCACTTTAAGCGACTCAGCTACCTACATTCCCTAGCACCACAGGCTTCCTCCCCCCCCCCACCCCCCCACCCCCGCCTCCCCCAGATGTCAAACGTTAATAAACTGCTTTATAATGCATAATGAATAAAATACTTCTTTTCCTACAGAAACTGGGCGTGGGGATACAATAGCACAAGGCTCGTGGTGACATGAAATTCGCTCACTAGGATCAAAGAATATTTCTCATCCCGGCACTTGGCACTTTCTCCTCCCCCACTCCCAATCCTTAAAAAAAAAAAAAAATTCAACGTGTAAGGTTCTCCTGTGTGAAATATCAAGGGGGCCAGCAGTCCATCAGAACAGATCTCAGAACCTTGAAAAGTTTTGTTTTCCCCTGAGAAATTTATATCCTTCTTCCTTATTTGGAAACAGCAGTGTGCATCTGCATTTTCTCATTTTGCACTGCGCCCCACCAAGTTCAAAGCCAAATTTTCTGTTTAATTTTGGAACAACGGGAATTTCTGATACATACATTTGATTTTTAAATCATATCGTCCGTTCTGTTTGCTGTCATTTACTTAATTTTACATGTCTTTCATTGTGTATATTGTAAAAGGATTGAGGTTGGTTTTTGTCTCCCGCCCACGCCCCCATCCCCCCAGATAAAACATTTACATGGCCATCGGTCACCTATGAGAGTATGTTTTGGTGGCACGGCACACACAAGTCGTGTGTTATTTAAAGATCTTCACTGATGTATGTATGTGAGGAGCCTGAAAGGTTTTCTCGTTGGAGTTTTCATTTGTGTTTCTATGATTACTCTTAAGATTGAACGGCTTTTCGGTATTTGCTGATTAGGTTTAAAGCTGTTTGCTTGGGACGTGACTTATAGCGGAGAAGGGTCCTGCCAATGCCACTAAGGGACAAAACAAATGATGAAACCCAGGAATAACTCGTTTTTCAGATTTCATCCCTGACTCCGCCCCCCTTACCCCCCACGAGCCCTTTGTGTGTGCCAACAGTCCGCAGACAGGTTCTCAATCTGCAGAGCTGGAGACAGATGTACTGACACCAAATACATGCGTTGTGTACATATGATACTTCTGAATACAATGCGAATGGGACAGAGTACTGGAGCACCGACCAGCCCCGGGTAGCCGCCCTGTCTGGGAGTCTCTTCAGGCGTAGCCTCCCCGCTCGGCTTTCGACTGGCTGGTCTGAGGACCCCGCATCCCGGAGAAGCGGGCTTGCTCGGGGAGGTCGATACGCTCTATGAGCGACTGCTTTTGCCTTTTCTCCCCCCCGCCCTTTTTTAGCTATAGCTATGGTTACCACGTCTCTCCCCGCCTCCCTCCACCTGCCAAGAAAGAGACTGCTCATTGGTTCTCTGTCACCAAGGCGGCCAGCCATTGGTTGCTGGTGAGCCCGGCGCTCCCCCGGCTCCTGTCTCCCTGGTCTCTTGAGGAGCCCGGGAAGGAGGCTCAGGCTCGCGCTGCCGGGGCAGGGGCTTGCCGGGACCGGGCTGCGGCAATCGTTAGCGGGCCATGTCGGCTGCCCAGGGCTGGGATCGAAACCGCCGGCGGGGAGGAGGCGGAGGCGCGGCCGGCGGGGCTGGCGGGGCCGGCGGGGCCGGCGGGGGTAGCGGGGTCGGCATGGCCGGCGGGGGTCGGGGCACCGGCCAGCTCAACCGATTCGTGCAGCTCTCCGGAAGGCCGCACCTGCCAGGTGAGTGGTGGGGCTGCTGCCGGCGAGAAGGTGGCGGCCGCCGGGCTCTGGCTGCTCCTCGGACACACAGCCGAGGACAGGGAGGCAGAGCCCCGGGAAGGTGGCGTTGAGGTCAGGAGGGGGACCAGAGCACGCCTGAAGAAAAGTCTCGCTGTGTCCACAGCTCGGGGATGAGAGTTGTTTTCCTCTCGAAGGAGAGGCCACTGTCTCTTTGACATTCCCAAATGATTTGCTTGCCTGGTTCCTAATCTTTTCCCCTTCCGCACATTGGTGTTGTGAAAGAAAGGCATGGGTGTTTAGCTGTGGAAAATTATTTGGAAAAGAGTGCCAAATTGAGAGGAGACGGGCAATACAAGAGTGATTTTGTTTAAAAGAAAAAAAAAAAGCCACCTAACTGTGTAAGAGTTAAGTATTTTGAAACGGAATGAGCATGTGAAAGTGTGTGTGTGTGTGTGTGAATGAATGTGTGTGTGTGAGTGTGTGTGGGTGTGAATGTTGGCTGGGGAGTATATGGGAAAGAAAACCAAAAAGATTAAGGAAAACGGTTGAATCATTAATATTTGGGGATGTCCAGAGACAGAATGGATAATGGTGTCTAGATTTTAAAAGGGGAAAATGAAGATCAAGAATATAAAGAAACAAATGATGCTGTGACCCTGGGTCAAAACTGAAAATTGGAAAAAAATGTACCTATTGCTATAATTTAATGTTCTGGTCTTGGAGTTCACATGCCTCAAAAAAAAAAAAAAAAAAAAAAAGCCCAGAGTCAAAATGATATGTGTGTAAACAGTTTTCAAAGAATACATTTATAAAAGAATTTTCAGTTTGTTAAAAGAAAGGTAGAGAATTAAACATGCACGGAATGCCAGTCATTATATTGGGCAATCGTGTTTTCTTACCGTGAAGAGAACTGTCAGGAATGATGTATTAGAGCTTCGCCATGTTTTTTTGTGTATGTGTGACTAGTGTTAAGTTGATTGTATCAGTGATATATTTGTTTCGATCAGTTTTGAGAACCTGATGGTTTCTGAATTGTGTTTATTACTGTGATTTGTGTTCTTTTAGGTAGTGAAAAATCAGTTGATTAATTTGAAGATAACAAAGGGAATTTTACTTACTCAATGAGACAATTACTAATATTTGTGATGTGGTTTTAATGTGTGCCAGAAGTTTTCATTAATCCATTTGTATGTGCCACTAAAATAAGATTGAGACATTTGTAAATAGCCAAATATACCATGAATTGGATTTGAAATGACAGTATCAGACTGGGTATCCTGGAATTACTAAATACGTGATTTTTAACATGAAAAAAGAAAAAAAGGAGACATCTTTTTTGTTGTCCCCAGTTAACAACAAAACCATAGATTTTTGTGTGTTGCTAGCCTAGAAGATAAATCCCTTGGTAAGCACTATTCCAGGTTGCCCTCTGCCACCGCAATCTTTAAGTCTTTGGTCATGGATTAATTATTATACCATGAACTTCATGTGGGCTTTCTCAGGGTCCTGTAACATGTTGGTGCAGTTCCTCACTGCTACCACATGAGGGCGGTGGAAGCCATGATTTCAAATAAGGGCCTGAAGTATGGCGCTATTTCTGCATTCCCTTAGCACACGAGGACAAGAACAGCCATTTGTCCAGAGGTGAAGATAAAACGTGCTTAAACTGTGAAAATTCGAGAAGTGGAGTCATCAGTCTTGGTTCTGCTTATTTTCTTCCAGGCTGGCACTCAATTCCTCCTTCCCCACACACAGGCATTCTCCATTTTTCCCTCATTGTCAAATTCGGAAAATGTCTGATATCTCAGTAATATACTTTAGAAATTATTTCATACTAACCTTTTGTTCTCACAGGTATTGCATATTAAATCTCTTAACTCTATTTTGAGATAATTTAAAAGGTTTTAAATGGTATGGAGGAATAGGAATGTGTAGGTCTGTTTCATGGCTGACCCTGCAGGCCTGTCTCCCCCCCCCCATGTGGTGTATTAATTTTCCATCTCTTTTGACCTCTGGTACTAGCTCCCACATACTGGAAGAACCTTTTTTTCTTCCCTTTTACATTTCTACCTTGTTCCCAGTCCCTGTGAAGCAAAGCAGTACAACCTGGTGATCTTCCTAGAATGCTCCCACTGCCTTTCAGGGATGGCATCTTTTGAAAAAAAAAATTAAAAAGACAAGGTCTCGCTATGTAGCCCTGGCTGTTCTAGAGCTTCCTGTGTAGACCAGGGTAGCCTTGGACTCACAGTGCTCCTCCAGCCTCTACCTCCTAGCGCTGGGAGTAAAGGCTTGTGCTACTAGCTGGCTTGGTGGGAGCATCTTTACCCATTTGCTTATGGGAACCTTAAATCGGGGTGACCTCCTCAAGCTCCCCACCAGCTTCGGTTGTAATTAGCTACCTAGTCTTGTTTCTTTGCTCCTGCCGTGACTAGTTCTTGTGGTCATTGTCCTGCAGTTTACCACAGTAGCTTCTGAGTACTCTTCTAGTCCACTAGCACCTTCTTCTTTCGTATGGTACTGGTCTTGGACAGTCCAGAATCTTTCCTCATCTCTGCTTACAGCCCTTTTCTGGCTTTTTTGTTTTTAAGATAGGGTCTCACCCCTGTCTATCCTCCTGCTTCAGCTTCTAGAGTAGTGGGATGCAGGCATGTGCCATCGCACCCAGTCTTTCTTGCTATTTCATTGCTCTCAGTGTCTGTGTCCTCCCCTTGGGTAGTCCTCCATTTTGTCGTCTGCTCTCGCTCTCTCTCTCAACACAGGCAGCCACTGCGTTTGTTCTGTCCTGCAGGGGCCTCCATCGATCCCTTCTCTAATGTAACTTGTTGTGTTGACTCTCAGTTGTCTTTTTCCCCATGGGAGCCTTCTCTTGCCTTCCTGACATGGTCCGTTCTCCCGGTACCCTCTCCTAGTATTATTTGTTTCTCCTTAGGCACATGTAGCATTTGTGTGTGAATATTCTTGGGAAAGACATACCATGTTTCTGTGCATACACACACACACTTATATCCTTATACCACAATGTAATGTCTTAAAATTTTTTAACTAGGAGCTGTAGAGAGAGCTCAGAGGTTAAGATTATTGGCTGCTCTTTCAGAGATGCAGGGTTTGATTCCCAACATCCACATAGTGACTTATAACCAACCATTTATAACTCCAGTTCCAGGGGATCTGATATCCTCCTTGGCCTCCACAGGCACCAGGCACATGTGTGGTACACAGACATACATGCAGGCAAAACACCTGTACACATAAAATTAAGATATTTATTTTATTAAAAAATAAAAACGAGCCGGGCGGTGGTGGCGCACGCCTTTAATCCCAGCACTCGGGAGGCAGAGACAGGCGGATCTCTGTGAGTTCGAGGCCAGCCTGGGCTACCAAGTGAGTTCCAGGAAAGGCGCAAAGCTACACAGAGAAACCCTGTCTCGAAAAACCAAAAATAAATAAATAAATAAATAAATAAAATAAAAACGAATGTATTGGCATTATGTATAAGATACTAATGTGCAATGATTTGATTTGATTATTGTAGTTCAATCCTCCATAGCCCCACTGGCTCCAGACAAACAGATAATATCGAGTTCTTAAAAGTATCTGGTAGTGTATCAGACATAGTCCCAGTACAGTGTTTTGAAATTTTGAATATTGTCTTCCCTTTCTGCTATCTTTTTAAAATATTTTTTCTTTAAAAACAGAATCACTTATTGTCTGTATGTGTATGAGCGTGTCACAATGTGCATATGGAAGTCAAAGGACTTTAGGGAGTCAGTTTTCTCTGTCTACCATGTGGGTCCTGGAACTAGAACTCAGGTCGTCAGACTTGGCAGCAAGCTCCTTTACCTCTGAGTCATCTTGCTGGCCCCTTTCTACTATTTTCCAAGATACAGCAGTGATGATGTATTTACCTCACAGGCCAAGACATTCACAGGTTTTTAGTCCTCAGTAATTAATAATCTTTATATACCCAGGGAAAAAGTAGGAAATGAGGGTGATATTTTGTAGATTAAGCATTTAGAGAACAAGGGAATTGTGGAACAAAATACAAGTTAGTATTACGTTTTAATATATGAGTTTAATTAAGGGAATGTGTTAGTAGGGAAAAACAGTTAAATATCATTGCTAACATAGAAACAGACAAAGAGAAAAAAAAGTACTGAACAGTTGGTAATGCTGGGTGAAAAATAGTCCTGAAATCTTAATTTAAAAGTCTTAAGTAAGGCTGGGCGATGATGGCACACACCTTTAATCCCAACACTCAGGAGGCAGAGGCAGGTGGATCTCTGTGAGTTCGAGGCCAGCCTGGTCTCCAAAGCGAGTTCCAGGAAAGGCACAAAGCTACACAGAGAAACCCAGTCTCGAAAAACCAAAACAAAAAAAACCTAAAAAAAAGTCTTAAATAAGAAATGTGGCGCCGGGCGGTGGTGGCGCACGCCTTTAATCCCAGCACTCGGGAGGCAGAGACAGGAGGATCTCTGTGAGTTCGAGGCCAGCCTGGGCTACCAAGTGAGTTCCAGGAAAGGCGCAAAGCTACGCAGAGAAACCCTGTCTCAAAAAACCAAAAAAAAAAAAAAAAGAAAGAAAGAAATGTGGCTGGATGGTGGCGCTTGCCTTTAATCCCAGGATTTGGGAGGCAGACACAGTCTGATCTCTGAGTTGTAGGCTACCTCTCTGTGAGAGCAAGTTCCAGGACAGGCAAGCCTACACAGAGAAACCCTGTCTCAAACAAACAAATAGAAATGTGTAAAATTTAAATGGTAGAAAGAGCATGTGATAGCCACACATGGTAGTACATGTCTGTGATCCCAGCCACAGGAGGAAGAGGCAGGAAGTCCAGGTCTCCTCCACTACAGAGCGTCATTTGAGTTGGAGGCCATTTTGAGCAACATGAAACCTTGTCTCAAAAGCAAAAAAGCAAAACAAAACAACACATGGCAGAAAGCAAGTTTTCTTTCTATCTTTGACCCTACCCATTGGCTTCTCTCCCTAGTAACAAACAGCGA